ATTCTGAGAGACAAAAAGAGATATATTGTGTTAGTGAAAATTTTGTGAAAGCTTTGAAACCAAAGATAAAAAATGAGAAAAAGAATTACTAACCAAATCTGCAAGTTTTGTTAGTCATGTAGAAAGATAGCAAATATAAGAGAATGCTTCTGGGAGATAGAAGGAGATTGTATTTGTGTGAAGACTCAACTGAGATAAACAGATATATCTACTTATTGATGTAGCACAAGATGGGCTGTAACACTTCAGGTTTGAATATAGGAAATTCTCCAAAACTTAGAAACAAAAGCCGATAAAAAATGAGCAAAAGACTTGGTTACTTAACAGATCTAAACGGCTAATTGCACAGAAGGATAGCAAACACAAAATTAGAAAATTCTAAGAGACAAAAAGTAATATATTGTGTTAGTAAAAATTTTATAAAAGCTTTGAAACCAAAAATAAAAAATGAGAAAACAAATTACTAATCAGATCTGAAAATTTTAACAATCGCACAAAAAAATAACAAATATTAGAGAGTTTTTTTTTAAAAAAAAAAAAATTGTATTTATGCGAAAACTTAGCTGACATAAACCGATATATTAAAGTAGTGTGACACTGTGAATGTTTCCCCGGCATCTACTTTCTCGGAAACCAATATTAGCCTTTCTTGTAGGGCCATGGCATGTGAATGTTTGACCCCATTGCTTTCATTTTTCCTTGTTTCTTTCTGCAACTACTTTCTCGGAAACCAATATTAGCCTTTCTTGTAGGGCCATGGCATGTGAATGTTTGACCCCATTGCTTTCATTTTTTCTTGTTTCTTTCTTCAACCACTTTCTCGGAAACCAACATTAGCCTTTCTTGTAGGGCCATGGCATCCGAATGTTTGACCGCACTGCTTTCATTTTTTCTTGTTTCTTTCTGCTTACCAATACTCTGCAGGACTGAGGCTTTATCACCAAATTAACGGCAAAATCTCACGTGCTCTCTGTGAATTTATTATCCTTCAGTTATAATCTCAGTGAATTTCGGTTTTCATTTGATGTTTATGCAATAATCAAAATCCAGAGGATGATATATTGAGTTTGATTAGGAAGATCAGATCTATTAGGATTTGAAATTGATCGTCAACGTCTGGGTTCTTTTCGTGGAACCCAGAAAACCCAGAACAAAGTTCTCCAAGGAACTCGTATCGGATTCCATGGAGATCCCGATGGTGGGTTGGGGTTCTTCATGGAGCCCATGGGTTTCAGAAACCCAATAAGATCTGGTGATGATGGAGAGAGCGGGAGAGGAAGAAAGAAATTATTTTCTCAGTTTGATGTGGGTTCTTTTGGCAACACAGATTCTAGTTCTATGGAGAACCTAGATTTGGGTTTTTGTTATAATTTTCTTGGTTTAATTTTTCTTGGCATATCAAATGAATTTCCTTGATTGGAATGATTTAGAATAAATTATTATTGAATTTTTTTGGTTTTAGAATTGTTTTTTGCGGATTTAATGCTCAAAGAACACGAGCAATGTTGGGGTTTAGGATGATGGAGAGGGGAAGGGTAAGATATGAAAATTTGTTATGAAACAAAGGGTAAATACGTGATTTTGTCCATTAAATAAGCTTTTAATCTAATATCGTGGCATGCTTGGTATACAAATTTGTTGATGTGTGCAGTGACGTGGCATATTCTGGCAGAGGGTAACGGGTCACGCGAGGCACGTGCTCTTTTTCCGTTAATTTGGTCATAAATTCTTGAAGCTGTGCATTTTAAGGGCTTTTTTTTTTTTTTTTAACTGAACTTTTGTAATTAAAGCAGCGCCACATGGCATCTACATAAAAGATTTTGATCTTAATGATAAGATCAAATGATAAAATAAATAAAATTTTATTAAAAATAATAATTATAGTAGATCAAATTTAACAAAGAATAAATATAAAAAAAAAACAGTGATGATTATATGAATAAATTCTAAAGAATTTGATTTTTATAAATTTTTTTGATCAACTGTTTCAGGAATTAGACATCCTTCAATTTACTCTTAGAGATGAACTCGCTTTTTAAGATGCCATGGCAAGAAGATTAAGAAGCAGCTGTCAACCTTTAATTTTTACTTTGTTGGCATGTTAACTACAAAATCTGAGTAAATAAACAAAAAAAAAAAAACAAAAACAAGAAACAATAAAGGAAGAAACGAAAAAGACCACCAAAGGGGCCACAAAACAGACCAACAAACCACTCAAGGTGGTCATCGGACATAGGAGCACGAAAGGCCACCTCCACTTTGCTTGAGAAGCCGAAGGGCTTCCCAGCACCCAAAAGCTCGTGAAGCCGAAGGCTTCTGACTTCTGAGCACCAAAAAAGTTGAACTTGGGAAAGGTGTAGTCAAAAGTAAGAGCGTTTTAGAGTAAAGAGAGAAAGAAAAGATAATGAAAAGAGTGTTTAGAAGT